CCACTGTATCTGGCAGGAGTTCAGTCTTGAAGGAGGATATTCTAACATAAAAATATTCTGGGCATGGAAGTTAACTTCCGAGTCTGGGGTCAGTTGGTAGAGGTGCTTCCTCATGGGTGGGTAGGGTGGGAGGTGGCCAGGGAGCAGGTACTGAGTTTGCTAGGAAAGCAAACTCACTTTAAAAGACACGGAACGGGACACAAGAGGCGGACGTGAGCATGGCTGCCGAGTCACTCATCCAGTCCTGCTTAGTCGGAACAGACAGGAATTGCTCCTCTGCTGCTCATCTCTCTCCCAATGATGTCATGATCCAGAACTGAGCCAGAGGCCGGAGTCCGGCCCTGCAGTGTGTTTGACAAGCTCCCGATTCCTGTCCAGAAGCTGCTAAACCCTGAGGCAGGCAGGGAAGGAAAGGAGGAGAGRCAGGATATGCTATGATTTTCCTTTGTCCCCATCTTGAAGATGTAGCCTTGGTCTGTGTCTGTACCCAGGCAGGCCAACCTTGATGAATGGCACTCCTAGGACTACCTGTCAGCTGGCTTCCAGGCTGGGCTCAACGAATACGAAGCCCAGGCAAGAGACGAGAGGGTGGGAAGAAAGAATTTCTTTAATTTCTCCTGTAGCTCTTGCCCTATAGCCCCTCATTAATGGCACCTACTCTCCTGGGGCTCTGGAATAGCATTTTTTTGGTATGTGTGTGGTCTCTGCAGGCCTAGGGGGACCAACTTCTTCCTGGGGGCCTCCATACTCCTGGCCAGTTCCCTTTTACTTCTTCATTGATGCAATGAATTGGAGTCTGTCTCCTGTCAGAACCATGCCTGGGCACTGGGAACAGAAGCTATGAGAAAAAAGCATCTATATTCTACCATATACTGGGCAAATGTTTACACTGAAACCGGAGCTATCTTACACAGTAAAATAGAAGATGTACTTATACTTTTAAAATAAATGTTCCTTCAAAAAATCCATCCTTGTGGGGGAAAAGGTACATTCATACACTGCTACTAGGACTACAAACTGGTGTAACCACTCTAAAAAGAAGTAGGGAGATTCCTCAGAAAACTTGAAATGGAACCACCATTTGACCCAGTTATTCCACTCCTCAGCATATACCCTAAAGATTTAAAATCAGCACACTACAGTTATGCAGCCACATCAATGTTTATAGCAGCTCCATTCACAATCACTAAGCTATGGAACCAACCTAGGTGTCCTTCAACAGATGAGTGGATAAAGAAAAAGTGGTATGTGTGTATATATATATATATATATATATATATATATACACACACACAATGGAATATTACCCATAAAAATGAGTAAAATTATGGCATTTGCCAGTAAATGGATGGAACTGGAGACTATCATGCTAAGTGAAATAAGCCAATTCCAAAAAAACAAAGGTCAGATGTTCTCTGATATGCAGATGCTAACACACAATAAGGGGGGTGGGGAAAACAGATGTACTTTGGATTAGACAAAGGGGAATGAAGGGAAGAGAAGGTGGATGAGAATAGGAAAGACAGTAGAATGAATGAGATATAACTTTCCTGTGTTCATATATGAATACACGACCTGTGTAACTCCACATCATGTACAACCACAAGAATGGGAAGTTATATTACACGTATGTATAATATGTCAAAATACATTCTATTGCCAGGGCAGTGGTGCCCGCCTGTAATCCCAGTGGCTCCAGAGGCTAAGGCAGGAGGATTGTGAGTTCAAAGCCAGCCTCAGCAATGGCAGCTCAGTGAGACCCTGTCTCTCTATAAAATACAAAAATAGGGCTAAGGATGTGGCTCAGTGGTTGAGTGCCCTTAAGTTCAATCCCTGGTACCCTCCTACCCAATTATATTCTATTGTCATGCATAACTAAAAAGAACAAATAAAAATTTTTTTTWAAAAATCCATCTTCAAACTCCAATCACTGTTGCCTCGGCAGTTCTGTGTCCTCTGTTCTCTGGGATCTTCAGGGAAATGGATGGTATACTACAAGGAATAGAGACACCTCAGGCCTCAGTCTCCTGTTTTGCCCATGGAAATAAAACTGGGCTGCTTTTCCTGATAGCCTCCAGGGGGCTGGTTTTGCAGGCTACAGAGRTAGTAGCAATGAAAGGAGATGGTGACTGGGAAGGGGAAAGAGGTGGGGGTCAGCCCTCCAGAAGGGCCAGAGTGAACAGGGGTGCTGACCAGAGGCATGGGACCTAGAGGAATGAGAGAATCCACTGCAGCCCTCACCAGTGAACTGCTCCTCTTCTGAAGACACTGTGTTTCGATTTTTTGTTATTTTCAGAATAAAGAGTGTTTAGGAAAAGGTCCTGTTATATAGCCATCTATTTTGTTAGAAAGCGAAGAAGTGTATAACACATAGTAGAACATTTTTCACCAAGTCTGTAATTTTAAAATTCCTCGCACTAAAAGGTAAAGAAGCATCTCATTATTTAAAATAAAATTATGACACTCATTTATCATTTTCCCTGGCCGTGCTGGATAAAAGCAGGGTTAAACATGATCTCTTGGCTAAAGTTCCCTTTAACTGAACCTGGAAGAGAGGAGACTGCAGCCTCTAAGAATATGTGCATAAAGGGAGCAACTTCAGGGAGGGGACAGTGAGAAGTCATATGGGGAAGTGTAGGCAGCTGGGAGCCCCGTCTGGTCCTCCTCCAAGTACCCACTTCATTCAAATCCCCTCTCTGCTTTAAATATTCTGCCTCTGCTAACCTTTCATTGAAAATAAGTTTCTGAATTCAAAATAACATTTTAATACTACTGGTGTAAAGTAATTGCAGGTCTATAGACGAACTGCTACTCTGAACAATCGAAAGACTACCTTTAATTCCAATCTGATGGTTCTTAAATGAATCTTTATTAGGACGTAGGTTTATGTTTCTTAATCCCGAATCCAAGCAGGATTATTTTTATCTCTAATTCTTTAATTTTTTAAAGAAAAGATAAAAATGATCAGAAGGTATTCTAGGAATCAGACGGTGAATGCACTTACCTGCTGTCCCCAGCATTTGCCACATACAGCTTCCCCAGAAGGCAGACCACAATAAGGGCCGTGCAGCCACCAGATATATTATATGAACTTCTCTCTCGTTCTATCTGTAGGTCCTGGAGAAGAAAAGAATGTTAGTGCTGGGTTGTGAGGAAGTTGTATCCAAGGCTTTCTTACCTCTCATTCCCTGGACACAGTCCTATGTGTCTGGATATGCTTCAAGAAGGGACAAGGACATCCTCTTTCCTACCACCTATTGAGCACTTCTGGGAGGGCATCTGTACTAGACCATCTGCACACCAGAGACAGGAAACACAGGATGGCAAACAGATACAAAATTCTTCAGAAATGAGAAGAATAAAATGCCACTCATTATATATCACAGCTTCTGAAAGCTTGTGTCTTTGTATGGACTGCCTGAGCTGCTCGGCAGTATATGGATTAGAGAGGCTGGAGTGTTAAGAACTTGGACCTGATTAGTGTTTTTAACTCCAAAGTCTCAAAAAAATACTAGTTTCCTGTGCAGCTGTATAGGCAGCTTCAGCATAGGCAGGAGTCACCCATGACTTATAGATCAAACAGAGAGGCTTCTGAACTTTGATCTGACTTTYCCTCTTCCCACAGCTACTAATTCAGAACGGTGACACACTCATAATAGTAACATCCAACATTCACCCAGAACTTTCTCTACATTGGGCAGCACGCCGAGCACTTTACCTGCACCACCTCATTTTAACCTCAGGATCGTTATTACCAATCTTGTTGTTCTGATGCAGGGAAGAGGGGTAGACTGCTCATATTTACCTGGTTATAAACCTGATTTCAACCTGGTTCTCCTCCAAAACCTTATTATCTGCCACTTAATGAGGCATCCCCAAGAAACTTAACAAGAGACCCTTTTTTTTTTTTCTTTAAAGTACTGAGGATTGAACTCAGGGGCATTCGGCCACTGAGTCACATCCCCAGCCCAATTTTATATTTTATTTAGAGACAGGGTCTCACTGAGTTGCTGAGTGCCTCACCATTGCTGAGGCTGGCTTTGAACTCGTGATCTTCCTGGCTTAGCCTCCCAAGCCACTGGGATAACAGGCATGCACCATTGCGCTCAGCGAGACCCAAATTTTTATTGACTTAATGTGCATCATCAAGACAGATGCCTTTGTCATAAGACCCAGCTATACTATGCCTTGGTATTTACCCTGAAGAATAAAAGTCATCATACCACAGTGATATCATACCGCAGGCATATCCATGTTTATAGCACCACAATTCACAATAGCCAAATTATGGAACCAGCCAGGTGTCCATCAACAGATGAATGGACAAAGAAAATATGGTATACATACCAAATGGAATTTTATGTAGCCATAAAGAAAAATGAAACTATGTCATTTGCAGGAAAATGGGTGGAACTAGAGACCATTATGTTAAGTGAAATAAGCCAAACCAGAAGGTCAAGGGTCCTATGTTTTCTCTCATAAGCGGAAACCAGAGGAAAAAAGGAAAAGAAAAGTGGCARTGRGGAGAATCTCAGGAAAATCAAAGAGAAATCAGTAGAGGAATGAGACTAGGGGAGGGAGGGGGAAGTGGTGGGAAGTGATATTGGCCAAATTATACTGTTATATYATGTGCACGCATGGATTTGTAACAACAAATACCATCATTATGTACAACTATAAAACACCAATAAATGTTAAAAAAAAAAAAGATGTCTTTGTGAAATTCTATGTTAATGGCCAGAGTTAAGTGCTCTGTGTTCTCAGAAAATTCAAACTGAGTGGAGAAGATACACTGAACACCAAGCTTGAAGCTATCTACCACTGTTGGGGCAGAGGGAGCGGAATTGAGGGTTGGGTAAAAATTACAAGAAGAACGGAGCCCAGCCTGAGTTTTGATGGTGCTGTTGGCAGATTTAGGACCAGGGCACTTTTGTGATTCTTAGAAACCTAGGGAGTGAGAGCTCAGCTGCTTCAGCCAGCCTCCTCATGGAACAGGAGAGAAAACTCTGTAATCCAATGTTTTACTAGCAACTGCTATGCTCCGGGGGCCAGAGATGGTGGTATAAAGAGATAAATCGCCAGTGGGAAACTGCAAGCAGAAGAGGCTCAGCTGAGGAAATAAGATTAGGAGCAGCATGGTTAAAGAGTAAATACAGAGAGACTCAAAGACAGGATGGAGGAGGAACTGACATACTGAGAGTGAAGTGGGCAAGAAGAGGGAGGGCTGAGAGCCATGGGGTTTGGGGGGCATACAAGGAAAGATTCTGATGAAGATTTTGGAGGGGGCAGCAGCACCAAGTCACAGAAGGGTCCAGCAGAGGACCACAAAGCCAGGACTACACTAGATATATATTTTTTTACATTGAAACTCCATATAAATAGACTTTCTTAAAGGATTGTCCTAAGGATTAAATTAGAGGGCATATGCAGGGCTGGGGGAGCTTAGCAGTCCATATGGATCCTTCCTACAGCCTAGAAACTTCATGATGGAAAAAAGTTATTATTATTATTTTTTTTTGCTTACTTTGGATTCTTAATACCTACACAGGATCAGCTAAATAGTACTTTAATAAATGTTCAAAGGACAAATGAATATACTTTAAAATGCTTGGGTTTCCAGATTATCTCCCTACCACCTTATCTCTGAATTATCATGAGAAATGGATTCTGCATTTCACATATGAAAAGCTTACCACACGAATGCTCATGGAGATAACAATTAAGCAGGAACCTTTGCCTCAGTGAAATGCCCTCAGCGGATAAGAAGGAATGAATGATTATCAGCTCTTACAGAAAGAGGGTAGGAGGCTGGAGGGTAAAAGGAAGATGTAAAAAATGTCAGATAGGACGGATTATCTCAAGGAAGTAAAAAAGAGGAGAAAAAAAATCCACATGTCAGACATTTTGTGTTTAACCTCCAAAATACAAAGCCAGAACCAACAAACCCATCCACAAAGTTTTTTTTTTTTTTTTTGCATTTAAATAACCATATAAAGTTGATATCAGGGTACATCCATATTCCATACATAATCAATTCCAAGTCTACAATCCAAAATTACTGGTTTTAATACATTGGAAGAAATTGCTCTAGAGCTACAGAAACTATCCCTTCTCAACCAGAATCAATATTTGTTTGAATACCTAAAGTCCGATTCAAAGATGATTTTTATTAAAAACTCAGAGCACCCAGCTGCTTGCAAGCGATGTGTATGGTGCCTGACCTGCATCTAGCGAATTATCACTGCAATCCAAAAGGGAGGAAAGCCCTTAGGGTACACAAAGTCCATGTAAAAGAGCTGTTCTGAGGTGAAGGATTCCCTCAGGACTCAGATAAACAAGTTTATTTTGCATTTTAGGTAGGGGTATTATTTATCATGGTTTGTAACAGAAGAAAATCTAATTTTAAAATTACTGAATCCTTAGGGGGAGGAAAAAAAAAAAAAGACCGAGTGTTCAACACCAAGATATTGTGCTATGGTGTTCGTAGTCACACTTCTTCTTGAGTGAAAACATCCCAGTTCCTAAGCTGAGTTAATTYCTTAGTATTATATTAATGGTGTGGCTCAAGATTCTTTCCTAATTAATTATATTGTTTCTTTCATCTTTTCCTATGTTTCAACTACATTCCCTCCGTAGCTGGATCCCAATAAGGAATGCTAAATCTGGCAGTGCTTTCTCACCAAATGTGGACTCCAGTGTAACTATTTTTTATCCAAGAAACTTTCTAACTCAAGCTTGCTTTCTTTGGTCCCCTCCTCCACACCCATGTGGGACTATGCATACAGGCACAGTACACACACAGGCACACATTAATTACAAGTGTGCTCTCTGCAGTCGCGGTGGCAAGCATTTGAAAGAAGTGTTTCTTGCAGCCTTCATCCCCCTGAAGGATTCACTGACATTAAAACACACTCTTCTACTTCTTCTAAAACCCAGCACAACTAGAACAGATTTCTAAAAATAATTGCTTCTTTCCCCTCCTCCCTAGAAGCCAAAATAGCACATTTATTTTTTCCTACTTACACCACCTACTCCTCTTTAAAAGATGTTTCACCAAATCTTAGCACTGAAAGGAACATTAAAGCACCATCTGGGTGGTTCTTTTACTATCAGATTAAACATGATAAATGAAGTCAATAAAGATATATTTACCATCGAATTAACTGCCTTTTCCCTYGAACCCTTCATCTTTCAAATTAGCTTAAGCTTTTTACACTCTAGGTAAAAAATAAAAATGTAGGACTGTTTTTTAAAAAAACCTTCAAGTTCTGGGAWTTTTTTTCACAAATCAATGAAATTGTGAGAAAAGCTGCCTACTGCTTTGTGCAAAGCAATAACTTATTTGCAATGTTTCCCCATTTTAGCCGTCAATGAACTCCGAGACATCCAAGACATAAGTCTAGAATAATTCACTAGCAAAACACATACTATCATTCCTTTCAAGTGCCTCTAAAGGATCACGTAAATGACTCAGAAGATTCAATTAACAAGATAATTGGTTTATCTGCTCAATCAAGGGTCCTGAAGCCCTCTCAAAGCAATTTTCTGCTTAGCAGGACTGAGTTATTCTGGGCTGTGTCTGCTTAAATATTACATTTAAGCCAGACTTATCTCTAAATCAAAGAATAGATCCGATTTTTAAGACTGGGATTTAATTTTACTTATTTTTGTTGCAAGGAGTGGGAGCAGAGAAGGAATGGAGACATGTGTGTGAAATGAGGCTGATTCAACAGGAAAGAATTGCAAGGAAAAAAATCATATTGCCCAGAATGGTTGTAATTTGGTTTGGAAGTCTCACAGATGATGCAACTCCAGGGTCAGTCTTTGTTTCCTGCTAATTTCAGGTTGCAAAAGGAAAGCAAGAGCAATCTGCACAAGAGAGCGCGGGTGTTGGGTAGTTTCAACAGGACGTGTCAGCTCCCACTAGCTGGGTTAAAATATGGTTCTGAGCACACTGCTAATAGTGTCAGTCACAAATAATAAGATTCTGCATGGTTTTAGTATCCGGGTCTCATCCTGGTTTATTCTGAGAACAAGGCCATCTGCCAGCCAGGCAATGAGGGAAAAAGGGAAAGAAAAAAAAAAAAAAAAAATCCAGTCCTGCTTACTATTGCCAC